AAAGCTTTGGCGGGATAAAGAAATAACCATTTGGTTGTTCTTTAATCTAAATTATTTGACTTAAATTGTATTAGAATTTGTTTACTCTAAGTTGTACATGATTGTATTAAATTTTGGAAACATCTTCTGTTGTAGTTAAGTCTTCCGCTGTGAAAATTTAGAAGTTTGAACATGTAATAGCTTAATTAGTTCTGTTACACAAAGCCTTGGGCGAGAGATTGTCCGGCGGGCGACTCATTTAGTCATCAAGCCCGATATTTTATCGAGCTAGACACTTGGGTCGTCACATGTCCATTTTATCTTTTTGTCATAGTTATGCATGTGGTGGTCATTTTGGACCCAAAAGAACTGCTGGAAAAATTTTGGATAGTGGCTTGTATTGGAAAACCTTGTTTAAGGATGCATATTTGTTTTGTAAAAATTATGAAAAATGCCAAAAATATGGTTCTTTGTCTCGTAGAAATGAGATGCCCCAAACCCCTGTTCTTATTTGTGAAATATTTGATGTGTGGGGCATTGATTTCATGGGTCCCTTTCCTTCTTCTTGTGATTTTCTTTATATATTGCTAGCTGTTGATTATGTATCAAAATGGGTGGAAGCAAAAGTCACCAAATCGATGATTCTAAATGTGTAGCAGGTTTTATCAAGGCTAACATTTTGAACAGGTTTGGAATTCCTAAAGCAATCATAAGTGACCAGGGAAGCCAATTTTGCAATAGAACAATTGAAGCTTTGATGAAAAAGTACGGAGTTTACCATCGTGTTGCTACTGCATACCATCCCCAAACAAATGGACAGGCTGAAGTTTCTAATAGAGAGATTAAGTCCATTTTGGAGAAAACAGTCAACCCAGGAAGAAAAGATTGGAGGCTAAGATTGGATGATGCATTATGGGCTTACAGGACTGCATACAAAATGCCAATAGGTATATCTCCATATAGACTTGTTTTTGGTAAATCTTGTCACTTACCAGTTGAGATTGAACATAAGGCTTACTGGGCGGTAAGACACTACAACATGGATTTAGAAGAAACTGGTAAGTCTAGAAAGTTGCAATTGCAGGAGCTTGAGGAGTTAAGGTTAGAGGCTTATGAGAATTCGAGAATTTACAAAGAGAAAACTAAATTATTTCATGATAATTTAATTTTGAGAAAACAATTTGTTGTTGGTCAAAAAGTTTTATTATACAATTCTCGTTTAAAATTTATGCCTGGAAAACTCCGATCCCGCTGGATTGGTCCTTTCGTTGTTACTAATGTTTTTCCTTATGGTGCAGTTGAGATGAAAGCTTTAGATACTAACAAGATTTTCAAGGTAAATGGCCATAGGTTGAAAATATTTCAAGAAGGTTTGAGTGATGTCCAGGTGGAGGGGATTGACCTGCAATTCCTTAAGTATTTACCCGACTGAAAGAAAATGAGGTTGCCGAGCATAACGACATAAAACAATTGCGCTTTTAGGAGGCAACCCAAGTTTAAAGTTTCTTTCATTTTATTCAATTTTACTTGGTTTCATTTATTTTCAGTTTGTTTTCATTAAAAAAATAAAATAAAATAAAATAACTAAAAATTAAAAAATCAGAAAAATAATAATAACTTAAGCATTTTTTTTTTGTTTATTTGTCCTTTTTCTTTTTCAGGAGCTCATTTGCTCATGATGAAATCGCAACTACTCTTCATTATTCCCATCATTGGCAATTGCTTTCACATCATGAACCATGTAGCTACTTGTGGTATCAACTCCAAGTCTTCACATCTCAAAAGAAACTTTTCAGGGAGCTTCCAAAACTCAATTCTTATGCAGTTATTATTGCTTTGCTGGCTATTTTTCAAAATAGCTGAGTTGGTTCTTTATAAACTTGAATGATGTTTGACTAGAAAATTTGCATGTCTACGTGCTACTATGTTTTCTATCTTTTTCTAGCTCTGCATTTTTTCTAGTTTGCACTAAAAGATGTTGTTCCAAACTCCTTGTTTACTTCTTATTATGCAAATACATTGTCTTACATTGAGGACAATGTAAAAATTAGGTGTGGGGGAGGGTTTTATTGTTTTCATAAACCCCTACATTGGTTTTAATTATTTTCATAAACCCCTGCATTGGTTTTAATGTCAAAATCCCCAAATTTTTCAAAACTTTTGGCTCTCTATATGTGCTAATTTGTCAATTTATTTCAAATGATTTAGAGCCAAAACATTTTTGTGTATCCCATTGGTTTTAATGGTTAATAATGTGCCATATTTGATGCAAATTTAACCCTTTCCCTGAGGTTCCATAGCCAAAGAGCACACTGCTCAATTTTCGAGTGTTATCATTCATAGTATGTTACTACACTGTTTTGCTCATGTCATACATTTCATAGCTGCATTGATGAATTTATGATAAGGGTATTTAGGTTTCGCCAAGTTTAGCTATCACAAAATCATACCTTAATTATTTACCCCTAGTAACCATTTCAAGCCTGGGCCTATTTTTGAGCTCCACCAATATAATCCTCAGGCAACTTTTTAGCTGTCTTTCACCTGTTATTCGGAGTATGTATGATCACTGCTTGATTTTGGTTTGTGGAAAGTGGTTGTGCGGGGGCAATAATGGTATGGTAGGTTTAGTATGATAGGATATGTGTTCTTACTTTAAGTCCAATAATGTCTTAGCTCTGTATATCCAAAAAGTCAGGACAGTGCCAAAAAAAAATGTTATGAAAAAAAAATGAAATGAAAAAACAAAATGAAAAAAAAAAGCAATATGTTGGAAAAAAAAAGAGAAAAGAAAAAAAGGCACTTATGTTCTGTATTCTGTCCATTCAGTTATTTGATTTATGCTTCAATTTCTTTTTGTTTTAATAATAATAAAAAAAAACATAAGAAAAAGAAAGAAAAAAAAATAATAAAGGGGGTTTGGTGTTTACAATATTTGAATATCTTTTTAGAACACTATAACTTGGTCATCAAAAGTCTTAGTGACTTATGTTTTATGTAATAGTTCTTTTAGTAGATTGGGATTTGGTTTGTAATAGTATATCAATGTTGCCATCGTATGGGTCATCTGGAATGATGGTGAGAATTGAGTATGTGGTCTACATATTGTCGGTAACTTAGCCTTCTTATCCATATTTATCTTACCCTTTGAAATTCCCTTGACCCATTACAACCCTATGAAAGACCCTAATTTTGATGTTCCATGATTGTTCATTTAGTGCTAAGAGGATTTGATACATTACAAACCTATGGAATGCATACTATGTTTATGATTGAGTGCTTACTTATAAATATCCTTTTCTTTTGAGTGTATTGAGTGAATCTTTGTGAGACATTAAAGTTTGGTACGTTCTGAAAATGCTATTAAAATGGGTACACATGTTTTCAAAATGATGAGTGATGCTTTGCTTGATTTACAAATTATTATCTCTGCTGAAATTTTCAAAATGCTGATTCGTAAAGTTTTGAAAAGACTTTAGCGTGCTTGAGGGCAAGCATAGTTTTGGTGTGGGGGAATTTGATAATTATAATAAAATTCATTTTATTATAATCTTCTAGTCCTAAATTGGTTATATTTTAGTGATTATTAATGGATTTTGTTATGATTTTGTTGTTAGGTACAAAAAAGTGAAAAGATGGACCATTTTGGATTTTTACGGCCCTTTTACAAAGTTTTACGGAGTTAAAAGATGAAGAAATTCCAACTGCAAAGATTACACACAAATGGGTTCCTAGAAGATTCTTTTTACCAAGTCAACCATCCACATCTTGATCTCATATTTGGTTGTAGAGAATCATGCAAAAAAATACTGATTTAATGGAAAACTAGGATGAGATTTGATTTGGATTTTACTCCCATTTCTTTGGGATTTTTTTCAGCCATTATGCACTATAAATAGTGGTCTCCTCAATTGATAAAAGCACCCTCGTAGCTTGCATTTTTTTGCTGCTACTACTTTCTCCATTTTTGCTACCATTTTCATTTAGCCTTTTGTTTTAATTTTTTTACACCTTTAAAGATGTTTCTAGTCACCATGAGTGGCTAGTTTTCTTCATTTGGTTCAAGGATTTTTATTCTTTTATATTATATGTGAGACTACAAGTTTCATTTTATTCTTTCTACTTTTGATTTAAGTACTTATTGATTTTGATTTATTTTTATGAGAGTAGATACTTGATTAATCTGACAATTTAATCAAGTATTTTCTTCCTACTGCTACCAAATTGTTTATGTTGCGTTATCGTCTTAAACATTTGGCACTAAGTAGCACATTAGCAGATTATGCATATTGGTAGTGACACGTTGAATGTGCATGATTAGTCTAAATAGGGGATCAATAGGACAAAAATCTTTTAATTGCAGTTATCTCAATTATTTTAGTTTTTTTTTTTGGTCAACTACATTTTCAAAGATTTTATTGCTATCATAATTTAATATGGAACGTTATCGTGCCCAGTTAAATTATGGTAAGTTTTGATTAGGTGTTGGGCTTGGTCAAATATTTTTTGGAAAAGGTAAGGTTTTCTTACGTTTATCCTATTAAACCTATGGTTGAATGCTTGAGTTGTAGAAAAATCATTTTTAGTCGATGATCTGTAATATATTTGAAAAATATTCCTTGAACCAAGGTTTCATTCTATTAATTTTTCTTAAGTTTATTTACTTTAAATTTTGTCAATTTTTATTTTGAAGAAAGAAAAAAACCCCCCCATTTTGTTACTTTTACGAAGCCAAGTGTCAACAGTCGGCTCTCTTGGGATTCGACCTGATTCCACTGTTTCTACAATTTAATTTTAGTCTGTTTGGAATTCAGATTAATTTTTGGGGGTCTCGACAAACTCGTCACAAGTCTATGTAGTGTTCTACCATTTTTTTCAGATTACACCTACGTATCAAACCTAGCATCTCCACATTCCACTCACTACATTCACTTTTGCAGGACATTGCTGCTCTTTATGAAAAGTTTTACCGATTGATTATCACGATAAGCAAAACTATTTTAGACATACGTGAAAAGGAAATGGAGTTAAAAATTGAACCAGATGAACAAGCAAAGCACACAATCAAGATTCTAACAGATGCAATGGTGTCGATGAGTAGAAAGCTGCCTCCACTTCTAGGGACAACGAAACACCAACAAGAGCAGCAGCAAGACCCACAACATCCAGAGGACCAACATCATCAACAGGAGCAAGAGCAATGCCGAGAAATAGACTTGCAGGATGCACAGATTTGTGAATTGTGCGAGATAGCATGGAAGGCCGCTGAAAGCAGGTTTGCAACAATAATAGAACGGCTGCAACGACAAGTAACTGACCAACAACAACAAAACACCAACACCAACAAACTTGTGACAACACTGTACAAGCTCCAATTGATCCCACAAATTTTCAAGAAATTGAAATTGACAAAGCACAAACACTGGAGCAATTGAGCGAGACAAATGATGAGGATTCTCTTCCAGTACAGAAATTCGTGCCCACTTCAAAAGAAGTGGTTGTTGATGAACAACAAACTCAACCACAAAGTAATGAATATTTTTGTCATACATCTCTTACTGCTTATAAAAAAATAAAAAAATAAAAACCAATGTCCACCTCGTTCGTACTCGTTATCCAACCGATTTTTTTTCTCTTGAGAAAAATACTTGTCCAATTAATGTGTTCGTACTGATTGTCCAACCCCGTGCTATTGTTTCTCCAGTTTTTCTTTTTTTAATAAAAAAAATACTTGTCCGATGTGATTGTACTTGTCATGCAACTAATTTGTACTTCTTATCCAACCCCTTTTTTCCCTTTAAATGGTTATCCATTGTGTTCCTGCCGATTATTCGGCCTGTTTGAACTGATTATCCACTTCATTTGAACTGGTTATCCAATGTGTCCAATATATATGTATGTTCGTACTGATTATCCAACATTCCAACTTTGTACGGCAGCACATGGAACGAATGTCTCCACAACAAAAAGGAAGAGAAACCAAGAAAAGCAAAAAGCTTCAAAAGCTTGCGAAAGAAGAAGAGGAGAATTGGCAGACAACAGATCCCATCAAGATTCCACCGGCCAGGACAGAGACACACAAGTAGAAGACAAGGCAAAATCCAATCAAGAATCAACCAAACTGGATTCAGGTGTGACACCCACAACAAACCAAACTGGTGCAACATCCACCTATACCAGAAGGACGAGAAGCACTGGTACCAGGAAAAGGAAAGTAGTCAAAGACCCAACTATCCCACATTTTGGCCTGGGTATCTTCTCTAGTCAGGAAGACAGTTACGAGACAACCCAGGAGAAGAACACTGAGGAAGACGATTCAGAAAAACAATTCAATGAGCATACCAAAGATGGTGATGTTCTAGTACCAGCTCCAGTTGAAGAAATGAACAATCCCAGTCATTCCATCGAAAATATCACATGAAGTGTAATAAAGATGTCAATAAGACTATCGAAGCTGAAGAATATCCAGTACCATCTGCACTTAACGAAACAAAGAATCCCACTCCTTCCATCGATGAAATCATAAGAAGGGCCAGTGCACCAGCTTCAAAATCATTAAGTGATACCAGAAAACTAGAGATGATTGCCGCTTCTGCAAAACAAGTTGAGAAGAACTCAAAGGTGGTTGAAGCAGTCCCTATAAGCATAATTCCACCCGATTGGAATATTGCTTCTACCACGGGTGGTCTACTGATGCTGGGGAAAAATAAGTGTACCACGCCACCACCTGCAATCTCAAAGGAAGCTGATGAGCTTGATGAAGAGTTAACAAAGACAGTGGAAAAGTAAGTTTGATCCACTGTGACTCCCCACTACAAAATAGAAAGACGAATTTACATACTAACTCTCTTTTGTTTTGTCCTAGGATCCTCAATGAAAAACCTAAGAGGAGAAATCCAGCAAGAGTCCGCCGGTGGCTTGAACGGTTCAGGTCGCCATTCATGCTCTAGAAGAAGAACAAGAAAAAATTCATACAGTGGACAGAGGAGAAGAAGAAAATGACCCAAGAAGAAGCCCTGTTGATAGACTTCGCTCTCTTACAAAGAAAAGAAGAAATAGTTAAATCAGGGTAAAAGTCACCATCCTTAACCATGGGATAAAAAACTTACCAGTGTTCTAACTATTTGTCTATTTGACTACTTTTTCTATGCAGGAAACTCTTGTTTGAATTTGGAAAAATAGTTTGGGCAGACAGGACAACAGTCTATTCCATGAGGGAAGGGACATGGATAGAAAATAGCATCACAGATGCTTGGGCTGTCATCCTAAACAAAGAAGAAGCTAAGAGTGATTCCCCAACACGGATATTCTTTGGTGTTTTGTCATTTGTAAGTCAACTAAACCCTTATTGTTTATCCCGCCCTGGTAAAATACTTGTCACATGTCTGCAAGTTGTTTATCCATATGTTTGTATTATTATCCAATTTGTTACTAATGCTTGTCCACCAGAGTTGAACTGGTTATCCAAGCCTTCTTGTTATGCATTTTGCTATGGGATTGTTTTCGTCTCCCTTCTATGTGGTGGCTTGTCCATGATTCATTTGCTGGTTATCCATCTGTTGTGTACTACTTATTCACAAGATCTGAACTAGTTAACCATTCCTTCTTGTGTGTCATCTAGGGTACTTTTGGTTGACCTTATACGTGCTTGATTTCGATCATTGTTTTCTATTGCATTTTCCAACCATTGTACTGATCATTGTATCATTTTTCAACCATCTCAAACAATAACGCAGGATAAAATCAGTCGCTACTATGAACAGGGCAGTAACATAGACGAAATGGAGTTCACATTTTATGAGAGGTTGGCTCTTGAACTGGAAGAACAAGGCCTTACTGTAGCATCCATGTTAGCAGCAAAAGCTGTAAGCAACATCTTTCGCCCCCTTCATTCTTTCTAAAACTAGCTGTTAAAAAATTTTTATATGATTTCCCCCTTTAATGTGAAATATCAGATCTACTTCCCAGTATACTACCGAGACCATTACTTTTTCTATGTGTTGCTGGTTGAAGAAATGAAAGTGCTTGTATTCAACAATCTTCATGCAAAAGATCCGGACTACTACAACCCAACAAAAGATCTACTTGTGAGTGAAAAAAAGGTACAAAATGATTTTCATACTTTAAGAATTATTCATTGCATTTTGCTGATCCCTGGATTTTATGGCATCACAGTTTCGGTTCTTCAAAAGCTACATCGCATGTGTCTTTCCAGGCATGGAACTGATCGGTACTCAATACACCTTCACAGAGGTTAAGCTACCATCGCATAATGACAAAACGCCAAATGGGGAAGATTGTGGAATATACACAATGTATCACATGGAGCGGTATGATGGTGGTGAGTACGAGGATAGTACTACTTTGGATTTCAACACAGGAAACATCAAAGACTATTGGTGGAAATACATTATAAGAATCCTAATGCACCCAGTCAACAAAAATAAGAACAAAATCCTCAAAGCAATGCACCAGTTCTATACAAATACTACCGAAGAAAAACAAAAAGAAATTTCAGATCATGTTGATTTGAGCAGCGAATCTTACTACAATGATAGAAAAACTGAGGGATGGGTTAAATGAACAGTCATTATGTTCTCTTGTATAATTGATTGACTGTTGATCCTAAAGTGTTTGATATCCAACAACTGTGTACTGGCCATCCTAGTATATTATACAACCGTTTGTAATGGTTATCCAGGATCTTTGTACTAGTTATCCAACTTATTTACACCTAATTATCCGAATGCTTTATAGTGATTATCCAGTCAAAAAAATGCAAGTACAGTCTTTAACCTGATTATCCATGAGTTTATACTTATTATCCAAAACCTCAATACTGCTTATCCATATGTAACCAATGTCTATCCACCATGTGGATAACAAGGATTCAGACAGGGCTTCGAAAAAGACATAACAAAAGTCCCCGATTGGTACTAAACCTAAACCTAATAACTGTCACTAGGTATGTTCCAGGAACCATTGTCGTTGTTTCTATAAGAAAATATCCAGACAATGTATTTTGGTTGTCCAAATATTTCTGTAAATTCCCAAACAACAAAAACTGAGTGTCTTAATTTCTTGGTCTTTCTACTTCTTTGTTAAACTGCCTATCCTATGATGTTATACTGCTTATCCAATATTTCTTTGTTGATTATCCAATGCACTGTATTGATTATCCAGGACTTTTGTACTGGTTATCCAGCCAATGTGCAGAATAAATTATGCATCAAATTAACTCAGATTCCATAAATTAACATAGATTAAAATTAACATAACTTAAAACAGCAATAATCCGTCAAACTAACTCTGAGACTACAAAAAAGGCTATCCAACACCTCGCCGATTATCACCACCGGCAGGAGAGTCTATTAATTAAAGAAGCAAACCGCATATTAATTGGGGGGCTTCGGCTCCCCATCATAAACTAAACGTCTCCCGCGACTACCGGAATCGCAGGTCACCAACCTGCCTCGGCTGCGCCGCCCTGCCAAACACGCTAATGTAGCTGAGGTAATCCTTTTTTTTGTGTGTGTGTAAGGAGAGAGTGTGTGTGTAACGAGAGTGTGTTATTGCGTTAAGAGGTGACACAAATTACTTGTATAAATTCCCCCGTGATAAACTAAACGATCTGGCTGTGCCGCCCCCCTGCCGAACACGGCAAGTTTCATAAATAGTATTTAATTGAATGAGGGGTATTTTGCCAAATAAAGGAGATGGAGAACAAAAAATTAATGAGGGGCAATTTGCCAAATGATGGAAATAAGATAAGTTTAATTGTGTATAACTAATTATCCATATTGTCAATACTGGTTATCCAACTGTGTATAACCAATTATCCATAGTGCCGACACTGGCTATCCACATTGTGAACACTGGTTGTCCATAGTGTGTAGCTGGTTAGTGTGTATAACTGAAAAGCCACACGTTTTGTAATTAAATAGAATTTAAGTACTTGTATAGATCCCCCATGATAAACTAAACGAGTGCAAAAAAATACGGACAAGGATATCCAAGAAAAATATAAAACGAAAAAAATGATAGTCCACGTTGTCAACACTGGTTATCCACAGTGTGGAGCATGTTACTGTGTATAACTGAAAAGCCACACGTTTTGTAATTAAATAGAATTTAAAAGATTGAGGGAGTAAAAGTAAAAAAAAAAAGAAAACTGAAAGGCTGATGTTTGTGCAGAGTACATCATGATCTAATGGGTAGTTACAGAGCCACACGTTTTTACATGGATTGGATTGAATAAGGATCAGTTACATAACTGTCATTAAATGAGTTTCTTGATTATCACAATGACAGTTAATGAATAGAGAGTGAGAAGACACTGATTTGTGCAAAAAGATAAGACTGCATGGGTAGTTAATCTGTCAAACTACCTCTGTCAATATCAGAAAAAAAAAAAACTACCTGCAAAGTCTCCATGAAACTCCCTGACATCTCCACATACAGTATTTTTATAAAACTCCCTCATCTGCACAAACACCAGAACGCCTGATTTGAGCATCCAAAACATCCAACGGCCAGAAAAAAATGAAAAACAAAAAAATTTCCTCAAATTCCACAACAAAACAAATGTTCCCCAAGCAAGCAAAGCAAGAAAAGAACAACTACCCTAAATATATCCATCACGATATGCTTGATAATATGTTCATTAATCTGACATTGGAAAAAATTGGTGAGTACCATCGTGTCAGCAAAGCTTGGGAGCAAATGACGAAAAAACAAGAATTTGTTCTTAAGATAAGACTGCATGGGTAGTTAATCTGTCCAACTACCTCTGTCAATATCAGAAAAAAAAAAAACTACCTGCAAAGTCTCCATGAAACTCCCTGACATCTCCACATACAGTATTTTTATAAAACTCCCTCATCTGCACAAACACCAGAACGCCTGATTTGAGCATCCAAAACATCCAACGGCCAGAAAAAAATGAAAAACAAAAAAATTTCCTCAAATTCCACAACCAAACAAATGTTCCCCAAGCAAGCAAAGCAAGAAAAGAACAACTACCCTAAATATATCCATCACGATATGCTTGATAATATGTTCATTAATCTGACATTGGAAAACATTGGTGAGTACCATCGTGTCAGCAAAGCTTGGGAGCAAATGACGAAAAGACAAGAATTTGTTCTTAAAAAACGTGAGATGAGCTACCCTGCAACTGAAAACAACATCCTTGTTTTCACTCAAACAAGCCAAGAAGGTCACCTGTTGCAAGACAAACTAATCGTCACCAACATAAAAGTGCAAATGGATAACCCATGCAACCACATACGATTGCAAGAAGAGATGTCGATGGGTGACGATGGCATCCATAAAATCATGTCTGGCACCATAGATTTGGTCTGTCTACAAACCAGGTCTCAAATCAAATTCTTGAACCCAAAGACAACACAACTTGCATTAATTGAATGGCCATATGATGTACATCTCAGCAATTGTGAAAAAGCATTTGGGTATGTATCATCCTCAAAAACTTACATTTTCATGGCCCTTATTACCGATGGAAAAAACATGCAAGGCTGCATTTTTTCTTTTCAAAGTTGTTCGTATTTATAGAGGGGAATGGAAAATACTTTGCAATGTATGTCTTCGCCTTGTATCTGATGGAACCTGGTTTGATAGATTTGTGTACTGGCGTGTAGACAAACTATCCTCTGAAAAATAGCAACACCTCAAGAGTTGCTGGTCGTGTTTGACTACCACACTCAACAATTCCAAACCATAAATTGCCCTCCATCTCCAATCTTCTTTAACCCCATTGATCCTTATCATATGAATCTCCAAGTGAAAATATTAGACTTCCAGGGGACTGTGTGTAATAGATGAGTACCACATTACTCAGAATCATCACTGTCAGATGTGGGCATGGGATCCAGATACTTCCACATGGGATTGCATGTTCGAGACCCATGAATCCCCAAATGTGAACACACACGCTCCACACGGATTACAGTTTCGCCATGATTGGCTTTATCCAGTGTTTCTAAGCCACAAATCATCTCCAGTGGGACAGTTCATTGTCAAAGGATACGATAATCGACATTTGATGTTGTATAGTGTTCCTACCAGGAAAATTACACAAGTACATCGCCGAATCTAGAAACCAGTTTCATCATTACAACATATTACTTTTCGGAGACATTAACACACTTTTAGGATTTTTTTTTTTTTAAAAATTTATCTTTCCCTTATTAACTTATTACTGAAAATAATTGTCCATTGATCTTGTACTGGATATCCCAGGACTTTGTACTAATTATCCACATTATTTATGCTGATTATCCAATGATATTATTTGTGAAGAAAGCGTGTCCAACGTGTTCATGTCTTTTTTGTAATATCTATATGCATTTAAAGTTGCATATCTAGTACATGCGAGTTGGATATCCAGTATAGGCGAGTTGGATATCCAGCACAAACAAGTTGGATATGCATACAAACCCGTTGGACTACAACTACAAAACAAGTTGGATAGGCATACAAACCCAATGGATGGATATCCAGTACAAGCGAGTAGGATATCTAGTACAAACGAAATGGATATCCATTACAAACAAGTGGGATATCCATTACAAACAAGTTTGATAGGCATACAAACCAAATGGATGGATATCCAGTATAAACAAGTTGGATAACCAGTTCAAACTGGTTGGATAACCAGCATAAACACAATGGATAACCAATTTAAAATAACCACTTAGATAAGCAGTACAAACAAAATGGATAACCAGTTCAAACTAGTTGGAAAATACTTCAATTTAAAATAAATAATACTTTTTAAATAAAAATCTTTACGCCATCAATACTGTTCATTTCAACATCAAGTAAAAATACTAATAAAACATCTTGTTGAAGAAACACTGCGCTCTAACCTCCCTGGCAGCTTCCCTTCGGTTAGGAAATGAGAACCCACCAAAGTTTTGATTCATGAATGTCATGTTTTGATGAGAAGCATTCACAGCAGCAAGTGCTTGTGCCTTGAAACTCCTGGCCAGCTCCCTTGGGAATTAGAAATGAGAATCCACCGGAATTTTCGTTGATGAATGGCATGCTTTGATGAGAAGCATTCACAGAAGTGGAAGCCCCTGCCCCTGAAAAATCCTGGGGAGCTACACTTGGATTAGTAAATGAGAATCCACTAGAATTTACATTCAAAGATGGAATGCTTTGATGGGAAGCATTCACAGCAGCAAAACTTCCTGAGCCTGAAAAATCTTGAGCAGCTCCCTTTGGATAAGGAAATGGCATGCTTTGATAATGTAGGTCTGATACAACTGAAGCTCTTGTTCGGTCAACAGCAATTCTTGCATTTGTTTTCCTGCCTCTAACTTTGTTACATGCCTTCTCAACAATGCTTTTAGGACGTTCGTTCCTGGGACCAAACTTCTTCCTCTTTACAGTCGGATTCTTTATAACACCATCATTGTCTACAGACTCATCATTATTATTCGAACCAATGAAACTCCCGAGTTCTTCTTTAAGCCTGTCAACCGCCTCGTCACAACATTTCTTAGCATCTTTGTTATGTTCACTTGCATACACCAAGTCTGAAAATCGTCTCATAATTAGCGCCTTCCGCAGCAATGGCCCAATAGTTTTTCCATCTCCCTCATTAGCTATGCTTGACCTAGAACCATAAGCTTTTGTCCATCTCATACATATATAATCTTTAGGAAACTCATCAACAGAGGTTACATGACAGATTCGAAGAATGTGGCAACAAAGCATGCCCGCCTCAGAGTAGTACCTGCATGTGCATGAGAATCTCTATAACCTAGTGTCATGTACAACCACAAGCTTAAAGTGCTCTATCCCAAACCGCCAAACATTGTACATCACAATATTGCCATCATTTGAGACCTCTAACTGGTCCTGCCTACCCAACATCCCATCTTTGTGCAAGTGCTGAACCTCCCGAAATGCTTCAACTGTGTACACTCTGCGAATGCTCTCCAGGAAAGGGTCACCAGGAAGATATGAATCGATGTTTCCCTGGCTACAGTGTAGATCTTCACCCCTCACGGCTACCCGCCAACAGTGTACAACATCAGAGAAAATTCCATGGAAATCACAAAGTGATGATGTGGCCTTCATTTTACGACAAATTGCATTATTTGTTGACTCGCTCCTCTGTGAAGACAAGGTGCCACTAGAAAAAATAACTTTGCTAAATGCAGGGCACCACATATGCCTCACATCATAAATACCATTGAGCCATTTGTCATCATGACAATCATACTCATCCAATAATCTATGCACAACAATATAAAATACATGCAAAAAAAGAAAAATAGTTAGATTATCCATATAGATCCACAAAGAAACATGTATATCCTTAGGTTTTCTACTGCTTATCTAGTAATCATTTACTGATTATCCAAAATTTGGTACTGTCTATTCATCAGTAACCCCTTTAAACCCCTGCAATAATTTCTTAATGCTTATACAAAGGCTTTCTACTAGTTATCCAGCCATAATTGATGGTTATCCACAAGGCGTAAAGTAGTTATCCAGCCATAGTTGCTGGTTATCCACAAGGTGTAAACTAGTTATCTAGCCATAATTGCTGGTTATCCACAATTTGTAAACTAGTTATCTATGCCTTCTTTTAGTTGTGCTTCTATGCGGCTGCTTGTCCATACATTATTTGCTTGTTATCCATCATTGTTGTATAACTTACCTACCTATAAGTAATCATCAGGAAGATCATGCATGACCACTAACATATACCCACACAACAAAAAAAATAAGAGACACTCTTAATAATGGCAATGATCAAAATAATAATAAAAATATTGACAAACTGACCTCCTCCATAACACCTCGAACTCGATTTCTGTTGAAGTGTATTTCATCAGATAATTAAAGTTCTTAACAAAATCTGGCTTGTTCCTTAAATGACCAATTCGCTTTCTTGAATTTTCACCTATGTGCCATACACAGAGACAATACCGAGAACTTGGAAAACATGTCCGAATACTTGCAGCAATGGGAGGTGCTTGATCTGTCATTAGGGTTTGTGGCTGCTTATCTCCCATTGATTTCAAAAAATGCTTGAACAACTAATCAAAAGAGGGTTCTTTCTCGTTTAACACGAAACCACAACCAAACATGACATTCTTGTTATGATTATCCATACCCACAAACGGAGCACAGATCATTCCATATCTGTTTGTTCGATACGTCGTATCAAACACAAGCAAGTCACCAAACAAATCATAATCCTTTCGCATTCTGCCATCCCTCTAGAAGAAAGTACACAGCCTACCCTGCTCATCACAATCAAAATCAAAGAAGAAATCTTCTTCAGTTTTCTTCCTGCCCCAAAAAATCTTCATCAGCTGATTACAATCGCCACCTTCAAATCCAACACTAGGACGCTCATAATTGTAGGCATCTCTCAAAGTATACTTCATGTTCGAACTTTCCCCGTGTAATTTTTGCCACAAACTTATATGCATCAACCAAAGGGATGCCACTCCTTGTCATGTCTCTGATTATCTTCATATCATTTTCATCTACTTCACGTTGAGATAAAAGAAGTCCAATCATTTCATTCGGCACAAGATCATGATTGTGATCAACCGGATGCTTTCTACAGGTCCACAACCCATCTTTGTCAACAGTAAAATGGATATAAGCTAGACACCCACACCAAAAATTAATTCTCTCATGGCACACATCACCATTTCCACCGGATCTCTTGTATCCTTCGCGGTTACAACAGAACTTCTTCATCCTAACTTTATCAATCTTACCTCTAAACTTCTGTTTTCCCACTCTCACACTAAAACCAATCAATCGGGCATGATCATTATACAAGTCATAAGCTTCTTTCTCACTTCTTGCAGCCTTGCCAACTAAAGTAAAAACAGCCAAATCATTATTCTTCGTCACAGATGAAATTTCCTTGCGCAAGGCATCCTCCTCCACCATCACATTATCAACTCCCAATTCATTGTTGCTATTATCTTCTCCACATTCTGAGAAAAACAAAAGAGATGGTTGGATAACCATTACCAAACAGTCGAATAATCAGTATTAACACAATGGATAAACAAATCAAAAAAAAATTAACAATCAGTATTAACACAATGGATAAACAAAACCAAAAAAAATTAAACACATATAAACAAGTTAGAAAACCTACTCCTCAGAGCAGATGTAACTTCCATGCACAAAGCATCATCCAGCATCACATAATCCTCCAACTCATTGATATGGTTATCTTTTACAAAAAATGAGACAAACAAAAAAACAAAAAATTAAAAAAAAAAATTTTGATACACCAATTCAATATAAACAATTAAAAAATGTTGGATATTCAATACAAATCAGTTGGATATCCATCAAATAAAATTTGCATAGGCATATAAATCCGTTGGATAACCAGTACACATAAGCTGGATATCTAATACAAACAAGTTGGATATCCAGTAGAAACAAGTTGGATATTCATACAAATTTCATACAAGTTGGAAAACCAACACAAAACGAGTAGGAAAACCAGTAAAACAAAAACAAAGTTTCATAATCAGTACTTCGCATCGTCTATCCATGTTTACCACAATCAACAAAAAGCATATCCGCATATCCGTCTAAATAACAAACGATATCCAACACAGCATAACTGTTTATCCACTTCATACAATATTAACAAAAACTATCAAAAGAAAAATCAAGAAAAATAAAATGAAACAACTAGATTGATTCTTCTCTCAGAAACAATACACTCCGAAACCTACACAAACCTGATTGCAGCGGATCAACAATAGAACTGTGACCTTGCGTTGATTTGGTGGCACAGTAAGATTGTTCGATGAATTTGCTACCACTACATTCCGCATTCATCAAGCCAGAATCCTCAACGAGATAACTCATCACTCGATCTGAACTCAGCATATCATCGATCCAATCATCGTTTCGCCACTTTGGTGGAATCGGAGCTTTTCCTCGATCGCTGAACGCCGTCGCCGTCTCAACGACTCGATCGCCGCCCGCCGTTTCCAGCTCAACGCCTCGATCACCGACTCCCATTGCCGCCTCAACACCTCGATCGCCGCCGGCCGTCGCCCAACAATAATACTCCATCACAAAGTTTTCAAAATTTGAATGAATTCGATAATTTATATATGAGATACCCCCGGGTAAGTTTACTCACGCTATTATAAGAGAGTAAAGTACACATGTAGGGGGGTACACGGTACCCCCGGGTGTACCAGATAATTTGCCATATTAGACACATATATTCATTTGAGGTTCTAGATGAGAAACAATTCTATATCTTGGTTCAATGATTTAAGCCCATTAAATTGTTCTTCATTTTTTTTTATTCTGAAGCATAAATTATTTTATTTGTTAATATTGCATATTTTTTTAGTCGTTGAATTGATTATATGGCTGTGTTTTTTTAATGTTCTTTAAAAATGTGGTATCTCCAATGGGGTAAAAAAATCCATCCGAAAGAAACATGATGAATTTTTTGATGAAACTTTTTTGTTCTTCAAAAGCAGAAACAAAAAGTTTTCCAGTTTTGTTATCCATTTTTTGTGGATTAATTTCAATAAAAACATTTAATACATTTGTCAACTTTTTTTAAATTTTTTGTCCAAATTATATATTTAATTATAGTATGATTTACTTTGTGGTGATGATGATTTGCTACTGATCAACTGATTGGCGTTTTTCTCTCTTCTTAGTTTTCCTTTTTCTAATATATATATACACACACACACTCTAGGTTTACATTGCCAAGTACATTCGATTCCGACAACTGTTGACAGCAATAAAGAAAATCCAGTAAGAATTAAAGCTATTGAGGATCAAATGAGAAGTAGCATTCTCACATTTAGATGTTGTTGTACCATATGTGAAGTTTGGTTCTTAATATTGTACTTTAGTTAAAAGTATCGTCGTATTTGGAGACTTGAAAGCGTGTTTGCATTAACACTTTATGTGTATTGGTGATTTTAGTTGAATGGTATGTTGTAGAAACACGTTGGAACTCCCAATTGAAATGTGGTCGAGGTAACTACCTTGAACTTCCAACGAGTTTTTTGTTTCTTTGGTCCTGTTAATAGTTATGTTTCTTGATTTATTATTTTTCCTATTAATAGCACGATCCATAATTATGAAATCGCTATGTTGATAGTATGTACGGATGTATTTCTTTTAATGCTTTGGCTTTTAGTTGTTGCACTAATTAAGTTTATGCTTTTCAAGTTGGAAATACATTTTTGATTAATGGAAAAAAAATCATTTTGTCATGAAATTCAAAATCCTTGTCACTTGGTTCGGAGTATATGCAATTGATATTTGGGTTTTTGCTAAATCAAATTTTCAGAACACACATCCACTTCGTAGTCATATATATTAATGCAATAGATCTAAAGTTAACTCTATACAAATAATAATCTTATGACTTGTCATATTGTCCCGTAATTTTGAAGAATAATATTAGGGTTAGTGTTTGTATATCATGTTAAAGTATATAAGTAGTTTGAACTCCCATCTCAAAACTAATTTGACAATGTGTGTAGTGGCCTTTGGCACTTATTTATAGAGTCACTTCTCTTCAAGGTGGCGATGTGGGACAACATAATACACCTTAACAACTTCCCTCAAGTCCAATGGGTCTTTGAACTTATTGCCCAATTTGCCGGAATTATAAACGGACACCGAAGAATAAGAAAATACCAAAGTGGGGCGTAAAGAAGAAAACTGAAAAATGATGTATTTCTTTGACAAAATTTCCCTCTGCAAGATTACATCACTTTTATATGCTACTCAGAAATGCCAAATGCATGTGCTTAACTGTCTCTGGGAAAATCCAGTAAGGAACCAGTTGGCCGGCAACTGCAAAAACCGAAAAACAACCAAGACGATTACCATTAATATCCCTAAGTTTGTCTGAATTGCATTTAATACCCCACAGTTCCATACAGAACCCTCAACTAACATAAATTTCATTTCAACCCCAGCCTGTGACAACTCCCTCCCTGATAAGATCAACCTTGTCCTCAAGGTTTAAAACCAGGGAATTGTTTCTGCACAAATCCCTGGTCTCTCCAAGAAGCATCATCTTCACTGAATCCCTTCCATTGAATAAGCCATTGCACAACCTGATGGTTATCTTGTAGAATGAACCGACGTTTGAACACCTTCTCCGGACACAAAGTTGATTCTTCTAGCAAAGAAAAATCAGGTGGTGGAGTACTTACAGCGGGAACATGGCCATGAAATCTTTTGAGAAGAGACACATGAAAGACATCATGGATTCTGACCTGAGCTGGAAACTGCAACTTATAGACAACCGATCCAATTTTTTCCAAAATCTTGTAGGGACCAAAGTATCTTGAAGACAGCTTTAAGTATGATCTGACTGCCAATCTAGACTGTTTATATGGCTGCAGTTTCAGAAAGACCCAATCTCCCACTTCAAATGATCTTTCAGAGCGTTTTTGATCAGCGTATACCTTCATCCTGTCCTGAGCCTTTACCAAATGTTCCTTCAACAGTTTCAAAATCATAAACTTTTGGCTAATCTTATCATCAGCAGTAGGTATAACATTTTTTGACAATGGGACCCAATGGAAATAGAGTTGATTTATCTCCATACAAGGCTTCAAAGGGAGACATTTGAATGCTGACATGGTAGGAAGTATTGTACCACCACTTAGCCATAGGTAACCAAGAGCTCCAGAAATGGCTGGTAAACACTGGATCCCTGTCAGTAACAATGTCCTCCGGTAAGCCATGCAACCTGAATCCATGATGTCTTGTACCCACTGTGGTTGCCCTGTTGTAATTGCATATTTCTCTCCTGCTACCGATCTGTCGAATCCTCTACCATCAGAGATAAAATGTACTATCCTAGACAAAGCATCAGCAGCAGTGTTATCATTGCCCCTCTTATAGTGAATTTCGTAGCCATAACCCAACATCTTTGTTAACCGCTTATGTTGAGATGAACTAACAACCTTTTGTTCAAACAAATACATTAGGGATTGATGATCGGTCTTGACTATAAAATGAACTCCAACAAGGTAATGCCTCCACCTTGTGATGGCTAAAACCAACGCCATCAATTCCTTGTCATACACAGATAAGCCTTGATTCTGTTTGTTAAAAGCCTTGCTAATATAAGCAATAGGCTGACCCTGTTGCATAAGTATAGCCCCCATACCTGTTTCACAAGCATCCGTCTCCACCACAACAGGAATGGAAAAATCATGCATTTTCAAAACGGGGGAAGTAGACATCACTGTTTTAAGTTCCAAAAAGGCTTTTTCAGCTTCTGGAGTCCAGGAGAAAGCATTCTTCTTTAGAAGGTCCGTTAATGGCCGACAAATCAACCCATAGTGCTTAATAAAGCGCCGGTAGTAACCAGTCAAACCCAAGAAGCCCCTCTGTTGCTTGACATTTGCTGGCATAAGCCAATCAACAATACAGTCCACCTTACTCTTGTCCATGCTTACTGTTCCAGCTGAAATGGTGTGTCCCAAATAGTCCACCGATGGTTGGGCAAAAGAACACTTGCTTTTTTTAACAAAAAGTTGATGCTGTTGCAGCAACCCAAATACCACCTCCAAATCTATCAAATGCTGCTTCAAACTAGAACTATAGATCAGAATGTCATCAAAAAATACAAGAATATTTTTCCAGAGTAGACCCTGAAATACTTGGTTCATCAAAGCCTGGAATGTTGACGGGGCGTTAGTTAAGCCGAATGGCATTACCAAGAACTCGAAATGACCGTGGTGAGTGTGAAATGCCGTTTCGGGAATATCTCCAGCCTCCATTCTGATTTGATGATACCCCGATCTCAAGTCCAATTTGGTAAATACAGTGGCGGCCTCCAATTCATCTAATAATTCCTCAATAATAGGTATTGGGAATTTGTCTTTTATAGTCATCTCATTCAGTCTTCTGAAATCAACACATAATCTCCAACTGCCATCTTTCTTCCTAGTTAAAACCACCGGGGATGCATATGGACTGGTGCTATGCTGAGCAATCCCTTGTTCTAACAACTCATCCATTTGCTTCTCAATTTCAGCTTTCTAGGCATGAAGACACCGATATGGTGGAATTTTGAATGGTTTGGAACCCTCTTTTAGCAATATGTGATGGTTTATAAACCGATGGGGAGGCAAAGATGTTGGTGTAGCAAAAATTCCTTCATACTCTTGAATCAGTTGCAACACAAAATCAGGTACCTCCAACGGCCCTGGTTGTTCATTTCTCAACAAAGAATTCAAATGAAGTGAAGATACCCTTCTTCTCTTATCCCGTGCCACTTCTATAAACTCTTTTTCCCTGATTAACTGCATACTCACCCCCCTGCCATCTCCATGTAAAACATATTGCCTCCCATATTTGCTCAATTTAATATTCATATCCAAGAAATCAAATGTAATAGGACTATAATGACCCATCCAATCCACACCAAGAATCATATCATAACCGTCTAGTTTCATAATCTTCAAATCATAACTAAATTTCAAGTCATAAATGTCCCATCTCAGTTTAGGGTAGATCAAACTCCCAGAAACTCTACTTCCATTCCCAACAGTAATAGTGTATAGCTCAGATTCCTCATAATGAAGTTGCAAGTCCATCACCACCTTAATATCAATAAAACTATCAGTACCACCCGTATCAATCAAAATTCTAATCAATCTTCCACCAATTTTCCCCACTATAGAATGGTTTGCTTCACAGGTGTAACAGGCAAAACATGCAATGATCGTTCCTCCAATGTCAAATCATTAATGTCTAGGCCATCATCAACATTCAGTTCAGGAATTGACAGAGAATTTTCATCACAATCTTCATCCACAATCAACGCGTTAAAGTTCCTAAACTTGCATTTATGACCCGGACCAAATTTCTCACCACATAGCACAGACCATGGTTCCTTCTATATTGATACTCTTCGTGAGTTAAACTTTTATATTGATCAGACATGATTTCTTTCTTAACATGAGGTTTATGATTTTCAGGTACCTTAACTGAGGGGAGATATGTCTTCGCAGTTGTCGGATTGTTGATCCTTCCATCTTTAGCGTTAACAGACAGATTGTGCTCTTGAAGTAGTGCAATATCAAACACTTCATTCAGGTCTTGATGAGGTAACATCCGAACCATAGGCTTGATCTCTTTTCAGTCCACTGATAAAACTGGAAATAAAATAACTCTCAGTCAAGTGAGAATCCTTGCACAACATTCGGGTCCTCAGATCTTCAAATCTCTCCTGGTAATCCTTCACCCTACCCTGCTGAATCAATTTATTAAAATCTTCCACATCATCTTGCATTCCTTTCTCAGCAAACCGTCTAATCAGTCCATTCTTGAATTCAACCCAAAATAACTGCGGTTTCAGCATTTTTGTAGCCTGAAACCAAATTTCAGCTTTCCCTTCCAAACACAATTCAATGTGTTCCACCTTCCAATGTTCCGCCACTTGATGTAACAAGAAAAATTTTTCACACTTGCGGATCCACGTTCTAGGGTTTCCCTCGCCTTTGTACATTGGTAACTCCAGCCTTGGTTGAGTGAACCACTGAGGACGGAAGCCACGATCTCTTGCTGTTGTTGTAAATTCCCCATCAGTGTGAATTGTTGAAGCATTTCCTGAGTTCAACATCACTGGTGACCTCTCTGCCGACATATCCCCAAATCTGATCGGCGCTTTGTCTCTCACCGGTGGAATCGGACCGAAATGGATCTGAGATTGAACCAGAGATGTAATCATAGCTTCCATTCGATCCAATTGAGATTTCGAAGCCATACCTTCGATCTCCGTCTTCAATTTTGCCTTAATTTGCGTATGAAACTCCGAAAACTTACCATTGACATGATCATTAAATCCATCCGTGTCTTCAGCTAAACGAGCTTCCTGCTTCTTGATCTGTTCTTCCAATTGCTTCATGGATCTAGTACCTTCTGCCATCGCGGTTCGAGCCGAGGAATTTCCCGGCTCTGATACCAACGTGTCAGATCCCGGCGGGAGTTTGCCGGAATTATAAACAGACACCGAAGAACAAGAAAATACCAAAGTGGGGCGTAAAGAAGAAAACTGAAAATGATGTATTTCTTTGACAAAATTTCCCTCTGCAAGATTACATCGCTTTTATATGCTACTCAGAAATGCCAAATGCATGTGCTCAACTGTCTCTGGGAAAAATCCAGTAAGGAACCAATTGGCCGGCAACTGCAAAAACCAAAAAACAACCAAGACGATTACCATTAATATCCCTAAGTTTGTCTGAATTGCATTTAATAACCCACAGTTCCAAACAGACCCCTCAACTAACATAAATTTCATTTCAACCCCAGCCTGTGACAACTCCCTCCCTGATAAGATCAACCTTGTCCTCAACTAACATAAATTTCATTTTAACCCCAGCCTATGACAATACCCAAGTGGGAGAAAACCAGTTATACCGCTGGTTTGGTCCACAACAAGTCCACGAGTCAACGCTCAAGTAGGAAAATATAAAATCACAACGGGCCACCTCTAACCCAGAACTCTACCACAGACCAAGCACGCTCTAATACCATATCAAGACAGAAGATTGAGGTGGCCGGCATTAATCAGAAGCCGTAAAACTGTTGTCTATTAGGGTTTACGAAGGTCTATATATGCAGACAGTACAAGACCGTAATGTGGTATGAGTTGAAGAAATCTCTTCTTAGATCATAATGACATATTGCTTATTAATATGATTTAGGATGAATTGATACTTTAACGCCTCTTCTTTTCTTTCTTCCGCTTGGAGACTTCAACTTTGATGTGGTTCAAATTCTTCACCTGCAGGTGTTGCTGGATGTTAGCACTTCAATAAATTTTTCCAACTATAAAACCGATTCATGTAACTAATTGGTGGCCATCGAATAGGGCCTAGGTGAAAAGCACCTCTTCTCCACTTCCTTTTTTATGTATAAAGAGCTAATATTTTATTAAAAACACATGGAATTACACAATAACACAGTTGTAGACTAAATTATAGACCTTTAATATCTCTCGCAACTTTAGTAACAGAACAAACTCATATACTATCTTTAACTTTAATTAATTTTTCTACTAAAGTTTGACACTCCCAGAAAAGGTATAGTTCATCAAGAGCATCAGATTCAAGAAAGCTACAATCAGTAAAAACATTGACTCTTGCATCAGCTTCCTATAAAGCCCAAATACATGCCATCATTTACACTAAAAGTGGTGATAGAACTTGGATTGCAACAACTTTGACCTGTGTGACAACACCCTGCATGTTCGTAATCTTCGAAGCAGCTGCTGCTCACAAGGTATTAACGTGAAAAAAACCATCAATAATAATCTCCACATCGAACACCTGAAAGCTTACATTAGGAAGAGATGTGTTCGTAATCACTGTTACCTTCGGCTGGTTAACTGCAGCAAAAAACTTTTCATTACTGTTGAAGTCCTTACTAACCAATGTTCAACTCAGGTTTGGATCAAAACTTGCCCCTTCCCAAACTTTGTGATTCTGTGATTTTCAAATATGCCAGAGAGGATGTACATTTCCAATCTTAGAGAAGGATAGAGGCGTTTGTCGCAAATCTGATAGCAAAGTTGAGCACATCTACCTGTAACATGTATGAAAGAATAAGTAATAGTGGATGCCTAAATAGTCATCATATGTAAAACCTTGTACCAAACATCAACAATGGGATTAGTAAGATCTTTTCAAACCTCAAAAAAACCTACAAAACAATTCTTCCCTATCTAGGAAGATACATAAGTTTGAACAACTATGTCAAAAGTGAAAAGCAGACAATTGGGAAGGGAAAAACAACATAGACCTCCTCATGAAGGTTCTCATCGATAATTCAGGATCACGTCATTTATATCAATTCTCTCTTCAACTTTCCACATATCTTAAAACATAATGCATCCATTTGTCAAGAATAACGTCATCACATTAGTCATGGTTGTTGGAATTTGCCGCCAGTTTTAGTCACCTTCTTGCTCACTGATTGCAAAAGCTCTAAATTTTGCTGTTAGGCACGGGCAGCAGAAATAGGCTAATCTCTTCATAGAAGGGAGTGACCAGGGTGGAGGCTTTTGTGCAATTTCTGGAAAGAAACAAATAAACAGAATACAATTTTCAGCTGGTAAGAACCATCACAATGATAAGTTGTAATGGGTGAATCAGAAAATAACCACTGAAATTTATAATAGCCAAAGCCAAACAAATGAAAGTAGAAAACAAAATTCACTAAGAAGTTTTAATGGCCAGACATTTACAGATTCATTGCCTCCAGTGTACAAATTGTCATTTGCATTGAGAACCTTGGTATGCCTTCAAACATTTGATTTCCCCATCAGAATACAAACACATCTTCCCACTCTTCCCAAAAACATCCGGATCCCCGTCAAAAGAAAAGTATAGCCACTGCAGACAACACTGGTGGGAATCACAGGTTTAATGGTAACTGCAATAGCTGCCTTGGTCATAAATCTTGATACTTAAAATCTGTCTGCAATTGTCTGCTAGATTATCAAACTCACAAAATGGTCCTATTGTCTGCAATTATCCCGAAAGCAAGGCTTTCAAGACATTTACATACAACTCTCATTTAACAGTGCTCCCCTGTAAAGGCTTCATAACTACACACTTATTTGATGAGATTGAATAACTTTTCGGAGAGTAATGAGTTTAGGAACACCATAAATGCAATCAGAACACTTCAAATAAATTTCCCAACACAACTATAAGACACTCTTTATGAAGGATTGAACAAGGTATCAAACATATGGCAGTCTTATACAGCGGACTTTCAACAAATGCAGGTAGGGAATAAAGGCATAAAGATGAAAACACTCGTCCTACGACGAAATCAAGAAAAAGGTGGATTTTTGTGAACAAAGAATGAGCTTGACAACCAGAAATGGGGTATGCACCTTATGAAAGTAAAAGTTCAGAATCGCTGGTAAATGCCAATAAGAAATTCTCTCTTCAATCTGAAGACAATCCACCAAGGATCAATATAATTAGACAATAAAAACTTCTTCCAATAGTAATCCTACATTTATTTCTGCATGCGAAAGAAGCATGTCCCATTTAAAGCTGTTCAAAAACCTTAGCTGAAGCAAATAACAGTTCCAAACTAAAGAAATGAAAGGTAGAAACTGAACCACTATTCGAAGAGTAAAAATCAAAATTTTATCTTGATAGAAGTCCAACTCCCCTTACTTGCAAATACACTTATTCAGAATTTGGACACCATAAAAGACAGATAAAACGTCAAAGAATGAGCCACCAACGCACAAACCACCTAAGGCAAAGAAGAAAGCTCGAACAGCTTTCTATACCCTCTAATGTGCAGATATAAACACATAAACATCCAATACCTAATTATATATACAATATCTAAGCATATATATACAGATAGGATGGGTCGATAAAGTTTATATTCACAGCAACGCTCATCAAATAATAATACAGAGCGGGAAAAAAACAAGTTGAATAAAATAAAAAGGACGAAGAAAACAGGAGGAAGAGTACCGCAGATCCTGATTGGCGCTTCAAGCTCCAAAAGGTTGCTGTTGAAGGAAAATTTCACGAGAATAGGTGCAGAGAGAGCGGATCTCCGCCTCCGAGATCTGAAAATCATGCTTACCCATCACTAAGAGTTTCGCTCAACAGCAATTGAATGCTCAACATTTAACCATCAGTGAAGGTTTTTTTTGGATGGACGTTGTAAATCTGAATTTTCCTGTGAGCAGTAACAATGGAAGATCTTCTGATGTGCTTCTATTCCGAATGTCTGGTAACAACTGGGAAACTCATGATAATCTGGTAGAAACTCAAAAAGTTTGGTCTATTTGACAAACTCCAGAAGTGAATATTGATGACCAAAAAAGTAGTATACCTCTATTTCCAAACTTGGCAGAGCTTTCTTCAATTTGGTTATATTATCAACTCTAGGAGCTGCCAATCCTTGCTGCCACTCAGACTGAAAGTGCAAGAAAAAAGAAAATAAAATATTCATCAGGAGGGCATGCTTCTATTTCATTCGCACACAAAATTGATTGCAGTTGCCGTCAGTTTCTTCACTCCACTGATTTAAACACAAGGCAAGAACCACTCAAAAGAAGACAAAACCCACATTCTAGAAGAGAATGCCATGCAACATCAAGTAACTCAAAGAATGGAACATAGATAATATCGAGGGAGATTCTATAGTAGGTTCATTATCACAACAGCAATGTAGTTTAGCTTACAAAGTCCTAGCAAAGAAATAATCAGACCAGAAATTGTTTTAGAACTAACCAGGACGAAACAAATGTTGCAAATTGAAGAGCAACAAAAGTAAATCTAATAGGGAGGACAAAAAACAATTCATACACAATACTTGTTATGGGAGCAAGACTTTAGTAAGATAACTCCTTCAATATTCAATAGTTTTCATGGAGACGGGCTTCCATAAGTTATTAGCTAAAACGTAGGGAAGTAGCCACAAATCTTAACAAATTCCATAAATTCCATAACTATTTTAAAGGACTGGAAACAACTCTTAACAATTAGACTGATTATCAATTTGTGCATTTTGAAACAAATCCAAAGGTACCAAAGCATTGAAACGCTAATTATTTCGGCTCAGTTTAGAAACTGATAACATATAAAGAATCATATAGACAAAATTGTTCCAGCAATATTGAGGAAGAAATACAGCACGCAACTCTGAAATCAAACAGAACCATAAAAATACTGAACCAAAATAATGATAAGAAAAGAAGACTAAAATAATGAAGATGGATGGTGGAAGATGAATAATACCTCAAAGTAACGAAGTCGATGTTCCCAAATTGGATGACTCCCACCATCCGCAAGTGAAACCTCCTCCACTAAACCTGCAAACCCCAACTTCTCAGCCCTGAAATGCTCAATGTTAGCAATATGCAAACATTTCAAATTCTTGGTAATGAATTCAATCTCATCCCTCTCCACATCCTTCACCACCAAAATCTTAGATTTAGCCAAATAATGCAATGACAAATCAGTCACTGCATCCCTCCAAATACTCCTGTTTCAACATTACACTCTACCTAGTGGCCTTGATCCTCTTAATAATCCCAAAATATAGTTCTTTTTCCTCCTTCAAAATCCTATCCATCTGGGTATAATCTGAAACCACTACACTCTGCTCCCAATCATATCAGTTTTAGGGGAAGAAATCTGAAGCTGTATAACAATCTTATCATTCTCAACACGAGTAAGACCCCTAGAAGCATAACTAACCACCTTCTTATCAAAAATTAAACCTTTCACCAATCCAGTCTCATCAACACTACCTTCTAGTTTCTTCACAATTTTAATATCCCTCAAATCAACTAAATAAGGTTTCTCAGGGTCCACAACAGAAAGCACCGAATCAACAGCTAAAGGAGCCAAAAGAGTGGAGTATCGTGAAATTACCTTAGAATTCAAAGCCGTACTTGCCGATTTCACAAGAGATTTGCAGTTGGAAAGCTCAAGGGGAACAGCCATGGCAGTCAGAACTTCAACGGTCTTCACCCAAGTTTTATGCAAAGCATCAGATATAATAGTCGGGTGAATGCCGGAAGAAAAGATATTTCCATATTTCCAGTCCGAGTAACCAAATTCTTCGCTTTTTTTCACTCTTTTCCAGCCTTAATTTGGAGTTTTTTCTAGATGAAAGTTGGACATTGTTCCTTGAACTTCGTAACCCTATTAAAAAAAACTTCTGAATCAGAGCTTTAAATCTGAAGTTATGGCCTCTGAAATTGGCCAGCTTCTTGCTGAAATTTCTAGCCAGTTCTGACTTTGGAACTTTGCCAGATCAGAGCTATTGCCGGAACACCGATTGCCTCGGATCCCGGCAGCCTTACATCGGAGTCAACTTCGTCGTCAACCACTGTGAATGCGTCGGCAGTCTGGAAAAATACGTTGACAAACCTTCGTGTATCAGTGACGAACACAGGAGTCAATGATAGAGTATCTCCACTATCTTCACCGCCTTTGAGCCCCGTAATCAGTGGCAACATGAGGGCCTGATCTGTCCGTCGCGTGTCAAGCTTTCGCGCGGAAAAGGAAACCCAGGTTGAGAAACTGCAAGAACCTGTAAAATAAATAATGTAATCAGATCACTAAACAATAAATAGTGTTTTAATTTTACAGAGAAATTTTTCAAATTAACTGAATGATAAACAACAACATAGAACAACAAAAAGCTTCAATCAATAATTGTGTCAAATTGATCCAAAATTATATGACTTTAACATGCGTGAACCCAAAATCTCAAAAAAAGTAAAGCAAACAACATTTACATTCTTTTCGAGATTACACCTTTTGCTTCATTAACCTAAAAAAACAAATAAATGACCCAAAGGCAAAAAAAAAGTTCCTGAAAAAAGGCAACTAAAATGAGAAATTACTGAGGGAAGTATTTCAGAGATAGAGTGAGAATAGCTCTAACCATGATGTGAATAAGTAATCCGGTTCTCCAAGTATGGACATGGTCCCTAGCTTCAACGTCGCCACTCCCAACTTTGTGCGACAGAAAACCCAATCTCCTCTTCTGTTCATTCGAGTGAGAAATAAAAATAATAATCAATTGAATCCCAGAAATTGAAAATCAAGGAAATAGTCACTGAGAAAATAACATTGACGTGGAAGAATAATATTAGAATTAAGTTACTAAAACAAGCGACTACATCAATCCTCCCCGCCATTGAATGAGAGCATGCTACAGAACCATACACTTTTAAGAAGTCAGGCTAAATTCGCTGACCTAAAAAAAGCCGGCGGCCAATGTGGGAGGAAGTTCAGTCGCTGTCTTCTCTCCCCACTCATCCCGTAAATCTGCCAAATCAGTGACTGCTTAATTTAGTCTAAAGTCGAGTTAGATAAATGGTGGACAAATCGGGGTCGGTGAAATTTGTAGTGAGAGAGGATGTAAGGCTCAAATCCATCGGAACTGCCACTGACACCATCGCCAGCACCATCACCTGCTCCTGCTCCACCGCCAAGGCCACCACCACCCCCTACACCTCCTACGATACCACCTCCAAGACCGGATCCTCTTCCTACTCCACCGTCACCACCTCCTCGGAATCTAATGCCACTGCCACCTTCAACACCTCCTCCGGATCCTCCTCCTACTCCACCTCCAATCAGCTTCCATGTCCAGCACCTCCACCGAGGCCACCTCCTCAGCCGCCTCCACCACCACCACCTCTGCCTCCACCGCCAACAGCACCTCCTCCGACTCCACGAACTACACCACCTCCAAATCTACCACCGTGACCTGATTTGGAGTAGAAGGAACCTATTTGGGGATTTTCCTTTTTAGGGCTCTTCTGATTTTGTGCGGAGAATGAAGAACGAAACGATTTGGGGTTACGGGGAACCTGAAGGTCCGTGAAACAATTTGGGTTTTTTTTAATAAAAAGGGCCAAGTTCAAAACGACGTCGTTTTGAAGGTGGGCGGTTTTGTTAAAAAATAGTGTCGTTTGGGAAGGGGGGTTTTTTTTGACAGAAATTAGTATTAAAAAATATCAATTAAGTAATTACAATATTGGCCCAATTAAGAAGATGATATAACCGTGACTCAAGGCTGCTGTCACGTGATGACCGCCCGGCCAATCATATTACAAGTGTCACAGCCGTTTTCCCCGCTCTCATGTTAGGCCGTCCTTTCCCACGTTTGTGGGGTTTGCTGCATGAACGGGGCGTTCCCTTAACCAGACTAAGGGACGGGACGTACTAGAGGACGCTGGATTTTTCGGGCCAATTCCACATAAATTTGGAATTCTCTAGAAGCAACCGCACTTTGCTGAATATATGGGGAAGCCTCCCGAGGATTGCTAGGTCGGTCTAGAACGGGATAGAACTTTCTAGGAACTTATGGGATTCTATGGAATTCCACACTTAGAATATTTTAGTCTTAGAATTCTCTAGATAACTATTATTTTATTCTTTGTATAGAATTCTCTAGAATTCTCTTCGACTTGGGACTTAGCCTATAAATACCCCAAGCCTCCCTCATTTGTAACCATCCTTTGTTTGAGTGAAGCATTCTCAAGCATACATCAAGCTCTCCGTTCTTTCTTAGTGCCTACACTGTTCTTAGCTTTCTTAAGTTTTCTTTGCCTACGTTCTATTAGGCTTTGCCTAGCTTTGCACGAATTGTGGGTCTTGAGGGTGAGCTAGCACGTTCTCGTTGGTTGTTTGAGTGCTAGTGCCGCACGACTGTTACTTTGAAGAAGTAAGCCCATGACAGTTGGTATCAGAGCTTCGGCTCGCTACTTGGTGTGCTACATCGTCTACGCTTCCGTTTGTTGGTGTTCTTACGTGCATAAGCTATGTGCAACCCTTCGGAGGTCTTTCAAGGGTCGGAGATTGAGGGGGATCATGTTTCCCGCGAGGTGGAGAGGGCCACCCGCAAGGGAAACCGCAAGGAGAAGTCGGTCGTTAGGGAGCCAATGGTGGAATTCGAGAAACGACTTGCCAATCTAAAACTTGCTGTGGCCGACCACCAAGATCGTTGGGACGAGCACCCCGAGGTGGTAACGGGGGTCGTCGAAGCTCGCATGGAGCGATTCGTGGATAAATTGCAAGAGGTCATGCAGCAAATAAAGGACGACATGCTAGTGACGCTCAACAAGATGGTGGAACGTTGCAACAAGTCAAAGGAGGAAAGCCTTGCTCGTGTTGCCGCCCTCCAAAATGACATTGGCCGACTCATAGGTGAGTTGGAGGCTTCTTAGGCAGAATCGGCACGCCTTAAGGCACGGCTTGATGCCATGGCCGTGCAAGGGACATTTGGGAACATGGGGACGGTTCCAAATCTTGAAGCGCCCAAGCCAGACGAGATCAAGGGCAGCCGTTGCTTGAGGGACGTAGAGAACTTTCTCTACAGCATGGACAGTACTTTGGAATTATGAATATCATGGACGACTCGGTAAGGCTCTTCCAAGTCTCTTTTTATCTTAAAGATAGTGTTTTATCATGGTGGAAAGTTATCATGAAACCTGTGTGGGACGGAGACCCGGTTTTCACCACGTGCAACGATTTTAAGGAAGAGTTTAGAAAATATTTCCTACCCGTGGATGCGGAGGACGAAGCCCGAGCCAAGCTTCGCCGTTTGCACCATAGGGAAGGCCAAATCCGAGAATACGTTAAAGAATTTTTGGACTTGATGCTTGAAATCCCGGATCTCTTGCCCAAGGAGGCATTCTTTATTTTTATGGACAGTCTCAACCGTTGGGCCAAGCTTGAACTACAACAGAGGGAAGTCCAAGACATCGATCAGGCGTTAAAGGCGGCCGAGTCGCTTGTCGAGTTCCAAAAAAAGGATGGCTCCAAGGACAAGGGCAAGAAGCCATTCCAAGGCAAAGGTGGGGGAGACAAAGGGAAGTCTTCCACACCCGTTAAATCGGCGTTTGAAGCTTTGAAGGACGCCGTCACTCGAGAGCCAGTCTTAGCTCTCCCCGATTTTGAGAAACCGTTCGAGGTGTGCTCGCACGCTTCGGATTTTGCCATTGGAAGCGTTCTTATGCAAGACGGTCACCCGATTGCCTATGAAAGCTGCAAGTTGAATGAGACAGAGAAAAGATGACCGACGCACGAGAAGGAGATGTTGGCTATAATTCACTGCCTTAGAGTTTGGGAGCATTACTTGAAAGCCGCCACACCATTCAAGATCAAGACGGACAATCGGACAGTGAGCTACCATCAAAGCCAACCTAAGCTTTCAAGCAAGCAAGCACGTTGGTTGGACTTCTTGGCCGAGTTTAAGTACAAGCTTGAGTATAGCCCGGGAAAGACTAACCACGTGGCCGACGCCCTAAGCCAAAAGGCGTGTCTTGCACTAATCATTAGTATACTCGAGGGGACTTTGGTTGGTCGTATCAAAAAGGGTCTTGAGCACGACCGTCAAGCCCAAAGGTTCATGGAGCTCGCGAAGGAAGGCAAGACAATGCAGTTTTGACTTGAAAAAGGGAAACTTTATGCCAAGGGGAACCGTTTGTACGTGCCCACATGGGATGGACTTAGAAGGAAGATTCTAAGGGATTGCCATGATAACCGTTATTGGGGTCACCCAGGTACGCATCGCACACTTGCCTTAGTTCATGAACGGTTCTATTGGCACGTGATTGCCTGTCCCGTTCGAAGGGAAGTCTTCCACACCTGTTAAACCGGCAGCCGACTCTACAAAGCTGTCTTCGAACAAGGAGTCCAAGGGGGACAAGCGAAAGAAGTTTCAAGGGTGCTTCTTGTGCGGGGGAGCGCACATGGCACGTGATTGCTCGTCCCGTTCGAAGTTGGCAGCATTGGCGCAAGGGTTGTGCCAAGAAGAGGAAAAACGGGTCGCTTGCATAAAACGGCTAGACGTCGTGCATGCCAATGCCGAGACACATCAAGGTCGTCTTTACATGGAGGCATCGTTTGCAAACGGGTCTATATAGGGCATGCTAGACACGGGGGCTGACACAAGTTATCTCACGGAAGAGGTAGCCCGTTCGCTTGAAGTCAAGTGGACACCTAGCAAAGGCCGTTTCAAGGGCATGAACGGCGAATGGACGGATCTTGTGGGCGAAGCCAGGGACGTGATTCTTAAAATCGGCAACTGGTCAGGTACGGCTAATTTCACCATTGCACCTATGGATGATTACGATCTTGTGTTTGGCATAGAGTTTTTAGACCAGGTGAAGCCGATCATCGTGCCTAGCAACGACAAGATGGTGATCCTCGAAGGCGAGAAGCCTTGTGTGGTGAAGTTCAGGCGAGAAAACGAGATTAGCCCTTCCCAGCTGAACAAGGGGCTAAAACAGGGTGAACACACCTTTGTCGCCATGGTGTTTGAGCAGGAACCATACACAGAGGAGCCAGCAAAGGAGGAACGAATCCCGCCTCCTATAAAACGAGTCCTTGTTGAGTTCAAGGACGTTATGCACGATGAATTGCCTAAGGGTCTTCCACCAAGGAGGGAGATTGATCATGCTATCGAGTTGGTGGATGAGGCAAAACCGATAACCAAGGTGCCTTCTCGTATGTCCCCTAGCGAACTAGAGGAACTCAAGGTGCAAATCAAGGAGCTACTTGAATCGGGTCATGCACGACAGTCCAAGAGTCCTTAGGGCACACCAGATTTGTTTCAACGCAAGAAGGATGGGACACTTCGATTATGCATCGACTATCGGGCGTTAAACAAGCTGACCGCGAAGAACAAGTACCCTATCCCACTTATAGCGGACTTGTTTGATCGGTTGCAACGAGCGGATCTTTTCTAAGCTGGACTTGCGAAAGGGACACTATCAAGTGCATATAGCACCCGGTGATGAACCGAAAACGGCCATGGTGATGAGGTATGGCTCTTATGAATTTCTTCTTATGCCTTTCGGTTTAACTAACGCCCCAGTCATATTTTGCACTTTAATGCAACGTGTGCTAGCCTATTTCATTGATAAATTTGTTGTAGTATACTTGGACGACATCGTTATCTATAGCAACACTATGAAGGAGCATGTCGAGCATCTTAGGGCCGTTTTCCAAGTCCTTAGGGAAAACCAGCTCTATGTTAAACGGGAGAAATGCTCCTTTGGCCATGAAGAGGTGTCGTTCTTGGGGCACATCATCGGTGGGGGCAAAATCTGCATGGACCCGGCCAAGATCGAGGCTATCGTGGAATGGGAGACACCCACGAAGCCGACGGAACTGAGATCGTTCTTGGGGCTTGTTAATTACTATAGGCGGTTCATTGAAGGGCACTCTGCCATAGCCGCCCCTTTAACGGATCTTTTGAAAAAGGAGCAAACATGGTGCTGGACACCTAAGCACCAAACGACGTTTGAAGCTTTGAAGGACGCCGTCACTCGAGAGCCGGTCTTAGCTCTCCCCGATTTTGAGAAACCGTTCGAGGTGTGCTCGGACGCTTCAGACTTCGCCATTGGGGGCGTTCTTATGCAAGACGGTCACCCGATCACCTATGAAAGTCGCAAGTAGAATGAGACCAAGAAAAGGTGGCTGGCGCACGAGAAGGAGATGTTGGCTATAGTTCACTGCCTTAGAGTTTGGGAGCATTACTTGAAGGCCACCATACCATTCAAGATCAAGACGGAAAATTGGGCAGTGAGCTACCATCAAAGCTAACCTAAGCTTTCAAGCAAGCAATTGGACTTCTTGGCCGAGTTTAAGTACAAGCTTGAGTATAGCCTGGGAAAACTAACCACGTGGCCGACGCCCTAAGCCGAAAGGCGTGTCTTGCACTAATCGTTAGTATACCCGAGGAGACGTTGCTTGGTCGCATCAAGAAGGGTCTTGAGCACGACCGTCAAGCCCAAAGGTTCATGGAGCTCGTGAAGGAAGGTAAGACAACGCGATTTTGACTTGAAGATGGGATACTTATGCCAAGGGGAACCGTTTGTACGTGCCCGCATGGGATGGACTTAGAAGGGAGATTCTAAGGGATTGCCATGATTACCGTTATGTGGGTAACACAGGTACGTATCGCACACTTGCCTTAGTTCATGAACGGTTCTATTGGCCTCGCATGCGGGAAGACGTGGAGACATATGTGAGGACTTGTCTAGTTTGCCAACAAGACAAGACCGAGCAAGACCACCCGCATGGCTTGCTATCACCCTTGCCTATTCCAGAATGCCAGTGGGACAGCGTTTCGATGGATTTCATCGTGAGCTTGCTTTTTCCGAGGGTTGCACCAACATACTTGTTGTGGTAGACCGTTTGTCTAAGTATGTGGTCTTTATACCTGCCCTGAAAGAGTGCACCGCGAAGATAATGGCCAAATTCTTTCTTAGACATCTGGTGAAGTATTGGGGGCTGCCTACATCAATAATAAGCGACAGGGATTCGAGGTTCACCGGCCGTTTTTGGCAAGAACTCTTTCGTTTACTTGGGACAGAGCTCAAGATGTCTACATCTTTTCACTCGCAAAGGGATGGGCAGACGGAGCCCATCAACGGTCTCTTGGAGGTGTACCTTAGGCACTATGTGGCAGCCAACCAGAAAGATTGGGTACGTTTGCTAGACGTTGCCCAATTTTCCTATGACTTG